TGAACGTAGGCTGGGGGAGGAAGTGTCCTAACTGGATAAGAATCCACAAATATTATTAACTCTATCCTAAAAATATGAATTCCCAAAATAAAATAGGTTGTTTTATAGGTGGTATTATGCCTTACCCAATGCAATCATAAAATCTAAAAATCATAACAAATATTTACAATGGAAAAAATAAGAAAAATGTGAAAGGATACAATATTTACAATTAAAAAAGGACAGAAATATAAGCAGTGTCGGCTTTGAGGAAAATCAAGAAGATAAAGAAAATCCAACTAAAAAATAAAGTAATTCAAAAACAATCTGGTCAAGCGAGAGAAATTAATGGGGACAAATTTAGATAATTCTCTGGAATTAAAGAGTTGTGTTTTCAACAGTCACTAATATGCCATTAGGTAAAAATGTGAGTATGTAACAGATGTGATTCTGCTATCTGTATTTGGGGTAGAAATGGGAGTTCAAAACCCAATGGAGTCAAATGTATGAAAGATGATTTATCAAGAGCTCTGTAATGTTTGGAACAATCACTAAAAAAAAAAGAGTTGTGTTTTAATATTTGAGCCAAGAGAATCCTTAATGATTAACAAACAAAAAAAAATTTCAGACATCAAGTAAAAAGACATTTGCAAAGGGTTTTAGTGAAATTCTGTTTTTTTGATAAGTTTCTTTTCTTCCTTTTTTTTTTTAAACAAACATTTAATAGTTATTAGCAATTCCACACATACTACTTTGGACCTTCACCTAGAATGACAGAAGCTATAGATCTCAACAGAAGAGTCGGGTAGAGATGAAAGATATTCTCTAACTTGGAACTACAATAAGGGAAACCTGTTCCTTGGTGCCAGGCCCATCAAAGTTCAGGCAAATCAGAAGGAAAAAAAAAAAAAAGGCTAGAGTACAAATGTATCATTTTATGGTGAGATTTTTAATGTTTTTAAAAGTTTCCTTAATGTTTTAACGTCAATATTTTTTAAAGTTACATTTCACCTGAAGTTGTACAATTTTTTCCTTTTGAGATATATATTGCTTCCCTTTCAGTGTAAAAATATTACTGATATCACACCATCCCTTTGTTTTCTATAGTATTTGCATGAATGATAACATGTTTCTGAAATATATCCTCTTTGTCACTAGTGCCATTAGCATTAACAGTACAAAATATTGAAAAAGCTCTCCAACTGTTTAAGTGTAAGACTTTGCAAAACAAACTTGAATGCTGCTGTATAATTCTCTGGAAAAGCCTATTAAACTTTGTTGGCACTGGATACAAAATAAAATTTCAAAATTTGCATTTTCAGTACTTTTGCTTTCTTGACCTTTATTTGAATTTGAGACTAAGCTTTACCAAACAACAGAATTTACACAGTAACTAGCCAACCACAGTCCTCATTATGGAATCTATGCAGTGCATTTGTTACCTAGGAAACAGACCAGAGCCCAGGCAGAGTGCAATTTCAGTCTAGCAAAAGAATTCTCCAATCATGCTGGTAAATAAAGTCCATAAATCAACTAATCAGAAGCAAAGTCAGGAAGTATCACATAAGAGTTAAGCTCTATGGAAACTTTTTTAAAGAAAAAAGAGAAACCTGTGGGGCTTCTTTGGGCAACTATGTAGATCTCTTAAGTAAATATTATGAGCAGGTTTCTTTACAAACACAAACTGTCATAAAATAAACTGTTCAAAATAAATGGCTTCTCTCCAATCTTCAGCTTCTCCATTTTTGACAGTATTTAAAAGAAAAAGCTTCTTTGGAGCCAGCCTCATACATCTGGTACCAGAATATTAATCCAAGAATGAATTCTGCATTTTCAGCAAGCAGCCTGGGCTCTTGCTGTTTTTAAACAATGCAGGTTAAAAGAAGCTGGAATAAGAGTTGACTTCCACACCTCTCAGGTCAGACCTGCTTCCCCATCCGGCTATAAAAACAACATGAAAAAAGGACTTGAAAGTCAAAGATCTATTATAAAGAACAAAACTGTTACTTTCCAGTTTTCTATTTGATTATTACCAATACTAACACTAATCATTTGATGGTTCCAGTTATCAAAGCGGCTATTTTTAAAGTATCCTTTAATGATATCGGCAATATATTGGTAATTAACAAAGAAGAAAATGCCAGAAAGATCTATGGATTTAAAAGCTGATAAAATTTAATTGCAGGGGCTGGGGATATGGCTCAAGTGGTAGCACGCTCACCTACCATGCATGAGGCACTGGGTTTGATTCTCGGCATCACATAAAAATAAAAATAAAGATATTGTGTCCACCTAAAACTGAAAAATAAATATTAAAATAAATGTAATTGCRGACAGCTTAGTGTTGTCTTAAAAATCTGATGTCAGCTGTATTTTAAAATCCAATTTTACACAAATCCAAAATTTTCTGGAAATATTATTTATTTATAAAAATGTAAAAAGCAACAGGAAAAAAATTGACCTGTGAAAAATGGAAGATATGGCTAGGGTTGTGGCTCAGTGGTAGAGTGCTTGCCTAGCACCCATGAGGCACTGGGTTCAATCCCCAGTACCACATAAAAATAAAAAATAAAGATACTGTGTCCACCTAAAAATAAAAAATAATTTTTAAAAAAAGGAAGATAATTTATATCCCTTCCTGAACACCAATTACCAAATGGGAAATAAGTTGTATGTAATATTTTCTAGAATGTTTCACACAAACACCTAAAACAGTATTTACATATCAATTAAAAAAAACCTAAAAACTAGATATTATCTTTTAGGCCACATAAAGGCACTATAGTGCTGATCAAGAAGACTGTCAGGCGCAACTACAATTTCCCAAACCAATTCTCAATACAGGCCACACTTTGTTAATGTTTAGTTTACACAGTGACTCTTTATTAAATCTTATCACTACCACTGACAGTCTGGTAAATGCATAAACAAGCAATTCAATTTGTTAGCTTATCTTTTCTAGTACTTCAACCAGCTTAAGAGCCAGAATTCTGAGAATGGTCTAGAACTCCCTTCCACAATTCATGATAAAGCCACACATAATTTTAGTATCTCTCCTCTTTGGACTATTCATAATATAAAGAGGTGTGGGAAGAACATTGGTCAAGGGCCCTACCAGAGCCACTCATTAAGCTCTGTGCAGAGTTTAAGTTCATTTGCCTAATCTAGACAGAAAGTCACAGCAAGATCTATAAAATTTGATCACCTCAAAGAGTTTTGCTGGGTCATTGTTCCATGAAGCCTATTCTGGGTTTTAAGTAAAGTGTGTATAAATGTACAGTCAGGCATTTATAAAATGAGTCATGATGATAATATTAATCTATTAATGTAATTGGGGCAGAACTGAGGATAAAATTTTCTCCTAGAAAAAGATCACTATTTTAGGCATATTAAACTTTGGTATACTAACAAAAATTAGTTTGCCTAAATAAAAATGCATTAAATTGTATTTTTCTGATTAATTTCTTCACCTTACTTGATGGAAATTTAAATAACAAGTATATTTCTACTTTTTTCCCTTCAAGGTTAGATGATAATGCTTTTCTGAAAAGAAACTCCACTTGCTCCAAATGCCTATACCTATAATTGTCCAATTTTGCTCCTCAAAACTGCTTTTAAAAAAAAATCTCCTTGGTAACTATCAGATTTAAGTTTGTCGATATGAATTCTCATATAGTAAAAGAAAAAAGTTTCCAGAACTAAGCATCAGATTGAGATTAATATAAAGATAAAACTCCACACCTACATTAAAAATCTGAATCCGTCAAATTCATTTTCTGGATGCTTACTGCACTTCATTTATTATTTCAGCATCTACAAATATATAGCAACTGTTTACAAAACAACTTAGCCATCTAAGAGATCAGAAATATCACCCTACGGTACTTTTCAAAATACTATACATAACAACTTCATCGTTGGTTATATTCGCAGAATATATAAATGCAGTCAATAAAATAAGGGAAGTATAATCATAGGGGGAAAAACTCAATTCTAATATTCACGTTCTCCCCATATGTGAAAGATCTCATATCTTCAACCAGTGAAGGGAGGATTTTTAGCCTAAACAGAAGGCTAGAACCTTGCTTATTGCACTCCAATATAACCCCCACCACGGAGGCTGTCACTACCTGTCTCGTCTGTAACAGTACCATATTCTCATGTTAATCCTAACTGTGTGTGTGTGGCGGGAAGGGGGGAAGGACAAAACTTTACTCCAAAACTTCAAAACAAAAACAGAAATGTAATCGTAAAAATCGTAATCACACTCGTTTTTCCAAGTATCAACCTAACCTTTTTCAAAAAATTGGCTACAGAAAGCCAAAAGCAGCCTGTGATTTGGGTCTTATTTTGATTTGATGTTGGTCAGCCCAACGTCCTCCTACCCCGGGGACTACGTTCCTTGATATATTTGATAACAAACACAAATCACTGTGCGCAGCCTCAGATGGGGGTGGGGGACGGAAGAGCCTTTCGGAGAAAGCCCTCCTCCGTTAGAAACAATAAATAAGGGAGCGCAGCGGTGCACGTTCCTTCACACACGCCCCAAACGCACCTCGGCGAGCCTCCGCGGAGGGAAACAAGTCCGACGAAGCCCTGAACCACCTCTCTTTCTCCATGACCATCTCGGACTTGGAAAGTAGGAGGGCAGACCTCTTCTCCTCCTTCCCGCCCTCCTTCCCACCTCCTCAGACCCGCGAGCAGGAGCAGGGAGCCAGACCCCAACAGCGCGCCCGCGGCGGCCACGGGAGATGCCAGGCGCCTGGCCCGGGAAACGCCGCCGCCCGCTCGCGAGCCTTCCCGCCCGCCCGGTCTCCGCCCCCAGATCCAGCACCCCGAGCCCGCGGCCGCCGACGTCCGGCCGCGGGGTCTGTGCCCTCGCTCCGGCCTCGCTGCCCCAGAGGAGACAAAAGGAGGGTTCAGCCGGGTCACTGCGCGGCCGCCCCCACACAAAGGGGTTCCCTGCCCGGGTCGCCGCGTCGGCGCGCTAGTCCCCGCCCCGCGCGCGGGTTCTCACCCACCTGCAGGTGTCTGTGCGTCTGTCCATAGGAACGCGGGCGGCTGGGGGCCTGCGGGGGCCGGGCAGCCCCGGCTGGACGGGGCGGGACGGAGGGGAGGGGGCAGGAGGGCGGCCGGAGGGCCGGGCACCGAAGGCAAGTGGAACGAAGAAAGCGCCCGCGGGCGGCGGAAGGCGGTGCTGGCGGGGGGTCCGGGCGCCAGCCTGGCTCGGCCACCAGCGTGCGCCGCTCCTCGCGCCCCGGGCTCCGCGCGCCCGGCTCGGAGCGCGGGGGGCGGGGCGCGGGCGGGGCGGGGCCGGGCGCGGGGCGGGGGCTCGGACCCGGGGCTCCAGCCGGCACCGGAAGCGCGCCGTGGTCGGCGAGACCCACAGGAAGTGTGTAACGACACCTCCTACGACGTGCACCGCGCTCGCAGGAGTCGCTGTCCGGAGGTGGTGCGGACCGACCGTCCTGTAGCACACGCGCGCGCTGGCCGGAAAGGTTTGGGACAAMCCGTCGTACGCGCGCGGGAGTTAGTTCCCACCGCCCGGACAGGTGTGGAAGCCACGTTCTGAGGTGCCCAGCCCCGCCGCCGTCACACACCGCGGGCCTGAGGTCCCTGCTGTCTTCTAGTGCCTCACACCCCAACCTAAAGCCGGGAGCTGACAGAACCTGCCCCGTTCGTGACGTGCGTGGCACCTGTTATGAAGCACCGAGTAGAGTCCTCTCCACACCCAGGGATGTGCTGGAACACTTCTGTCCGACGTTCGACCACACAGCTGACCGTCACTGATGCCCCGTGGAGATGTCTAACATTCACCTGTGACACACCTATCCCACCGAGGGACGGGGACTGTTTAGTAGCATCTAAAGCTCACACCAACTRATGTTAGAGCACCCCAGGGACACCAGACCACTCTCACAGGACAGGGCACAAGAGAGGCAAGATGGGACCTTTATTTTATCTAACAAAACACTTCCACAGCACTTACTCAAGAACTTAATATTAATTTATTTRAATCTAAGAACTCTAGGAAGTGGGTGCTGTTAGCATTACCATTTTTTGAATAAGGAAACTGAGGCCTAGAAAAATTAAGAAATCTGTTCAAGATCATATAGAAAGTAGCTAGAGGGGAAAAAAAAAGTAGCTAGGGGAACCCAGATTCATCCCAGGCAGTCAGGCTCTAGAGCCTATGCYCTTAATTCCCGTTATATTCACAACTCTATCTTCAAAACAATGTTTGCAAGGGGCTGGGGATGTGGCTCAAGCGGTAGCGCGCTTGCCTGGCATGCCTGCGGCCCAGGATCGATCCTCAGCACCACATACAAACAAAGATGTTGTGTCCGCCGAGAACTAAAAAATTAATATTAAAATTCTCTCTTCTCTCTCTCTCTCTCTCTCTCTCTCTCTCTCTCTCCCTCCCCTCTCTTAAAAAAAATAATGTTTATGCAACATTTGCAATATGTCTGATGAACCTTATGTGATGCCCACATCTTGGCCTCACTCCATCTAGTACAGTAAAGCCTTAGTTACTCTTACCTTTAAGGTAGGTAATGGAAGAGTTTGAACAAAAGAGAAAGAATCCAAGGTCATCCCAAATCTGGACAGCTAGCTTGCACAAATTATCTTATATGTCAGCCCTTCCCAATCTAGAGCCCATTCAGGTTGATAATACCATCCCATATCAACACCCTTCCTGGACTAGAGTGAATGAAATTAATGTGTTAATGTTTTTGATACTTTTGAACAAAAAACAAACACAAATCTCATAGTTAATTGCTACATATTCCAAAAATGTGATCCTGTGGAGAAATTGGAACCTTTGTGTACTATTGATGAAAATGTGAGAAGGTACAGCCACTACGCAAAACAGTATGGAGGGGCCTCAAAAAATTATAAATAGAATTACTGTATGATCCAGTGAATCTCACTTCTGAATATATCCAAAAAAACTGAAGGCGGGGCTGGGATTGTGGCTCAGGGGTAGCACGCTCACCCAGCGTGGGCGGGACCCAGGTTCAATCCTCAGCACCACATAAAAATAAAGGCATTGTGTTGTGTCCATCTACACCTAAAAAAGAAAAGTAAATATTAAACAAAAAAAAGAAAAAGAACTGAAGGCAAGGTCTTAAGAGTTGTCAGCACCCTATGTTCACTGCAGCATTATATACAATACCCAAGAAGCCACCCTGCCAGATGCGTGGAATGGATAAAGAAAATGTGATATATATTTACAATAAAATATTATTCAGTGCTAAAAATAGGAAATCTGTCACATGCTATAACATGGAGAACTTGGAAGACATTGAGTGAAATAAGTCATTATATATATGCAGCTGAGACCACATACATACACACACACACACACACACACACACACACGTGTGCACCTGCCCAACTCTTGTTTTAATTTCGTTTTTTCTTTAATTTTTTCCCCGTGTGCTAGGTATGGAACCGAGGGCCTTGAGCAAGCACTCTACCACTGAGCCACATCCCCAGTCCCATGGCTTCTAATTTGGTCTTAAAGTCTCTCTATAGAGTGATCATAGCTGAAATGGCCACCTATTTTAGGAGAGTCCTGACCAGAGGAAATTTAGG